ATTTTTAAGTACATAGTTCTGTGGCATTAAATTCATATTATTGTGCAACCGTTACCATCATCCATCTCCAGAACTTTTCATTTCCCAAATTGAAACTATACCCATTAAACAATAACTCCCCATCTCCCCCTCCTCCCAGCCCCTGTCAACCACCATTCTACCTTCTGTCTCTATGAATGTGACCATCCTAGGAGCCTCATCTGAGTGGAATCATAAAATACTTGTCCTTTTGAGATGGGCTAACTTCACTTACCATAATATCTTCAAGTTTCATCCATGTTGTAGCACATGTTGAAATTTCCATCTTTTTAACACTGAATAATATTCCAATGTATGTACATACCACTTTTTGTTTATCCATTGATGGATATTTAGGTTGCTTCCATCTTTTGGTTATGGTGAATACAGCTGTGTGTAAAAATACAGCTATATGTGAACATGGGTGTACAAATATCTGTGTGAATCCCTGTTTTCACTTCTTTTGGGTATATTCCTGGAATTTCTGGATCACATAGTAATTCTGAAGTGCAATTGCTAGATCATATAGTAATTCTATGTTTAATTTTTGGGGAAATCACCATATTGTTTTCCACAGCAGCTGCACCATTTTACATTCTCACCAGCAAAGCACGAAGGTTCCAATTTCTCCACATCCTCACCAACACATTATTATTATAATTATTATTATTATTGTTACTGTTAATATAATAACCATCCTAATGGGTGAGAAGTGGTATCTCATTGTGGTTTTGATTTGCCTTTCCATAATGACTAGTGATGTTGAACATCTTTTCATATGCTTATTGGCCATTTGTATGTCTTCTTGGAGAAATGTCTATTCAAATCTTTGCCATTTTTTAATTGTGTTGTTTTGTTATTGTTGTTGAATTGTATGAGTTCTTTATATATTCTGGATATCAATACCTTATCAGACATATGATTTGCAAATATTTCCTCTTGTTCCATGGGTTATCTTTTCACTCCTTTGAGAATATCTTTTGAGGTGCAAATATTTTTAATTTTGATGAAGTCCAACTTATCTACTTTTTTCTCTTGTTGCTTGTGCTTTTGGTGTCATATCCAAGAGATCATCACCAAATCCAATGTCCTGAAGCTTCCTTTCTATGTTTTCTTCCAATACTCTTATAGTTTTAGGTCTTAAATTTAGATCTTTGATCCATTTTGAATTAATTTTTGTATATGGTGTTAGGTAAGGGTCTAACTTCATATTTTGGCATGGGAATATCCCATTATCCTCACTGTTTGTTGAAAAGACCATTGAATGGTCTTACCACCTTGTGAAAAATTATTTGACCATATACACGAGAGTTTATTTCTGGACTTTCTATTCTATTCCAGTGGTCTATATGTCTGTCTTTATGCCATACCACAGTTTTTTTGAAAATTGTTGCTTTGGGTTAAGTTTTGAAATCTGGAAGTGTGAGAACTCCAACTTTGTTCTTTTTTAAGATTGTTCTGGCTGTTTGGGTCTCCTAATTTTCTGAGAGATAATTCATTATTACTTAACTTTTAATAATAATTAAAAGGAAAAATAAAATGTAGAATTTAAAATCTCTGTTGTAGTTGGTGAAGGAAACAAACTTTGATATGAAGATTATTTTTGTGATTTTTTGGGGGGGAGGAGATCAAATTGAAAATCCACTGGTTGA